GGGTCCCTGTGCAATAAGCCCCAGCTGGCCCAGTTCCAGTGCCACCACCGCCGCTGCCAGTGCCCCAACCCAGTCTGGGCCCGGGCCCCAAGCAGCCGAGAGAGGCATTGGAAGCAATGTTTGATGGGACTCCAGAAAAGCTGGTGTTCTTCGCCCTGCAAGTGCGCAAGTTTCTACGGGAGTATGGCCACACCTTCCCATCGAATAAGCATTGTGTAGATTATGTGGGGTCTTGGTTGTGCAATCGGGCAGCAGACTGGTTCATGGGACTCTACAATGTAGGGGTCCCGAGCTCCAGGTTGTGGATGCCTTCATGTGAGCCCTGCAGTGGTAGTACGAGGATCCCTTAGAGTTGGAGCGGGTGAGGACCCAACTCAGAGGCTTAAAGCAAGGGGGTAGGTCCATCAGAGAGTTCTTGTATGAGTTCAAGACCTACACGGCTAAACTTCAAGGGTGGCCTGAAGAAGTGCTGATCGAGTTTTATCGAGCGGGCCTGAATTCCACTATCCTAGGCAAGGCTCTGGCTTTAAGACAACCCACTGACCTGCCTGCAAGGCAGAGAACCAGTGCAACCTCCTGAAGATGTACCACCCCAAGCTGGGTCTGAAGGCACCAGGAGGTGGGGCGAAAAGAAAGCGGGGCTGCACCTGGGAGTGAGAGGGAACAAAGAATGTGATGAGGCCGGTGTCTGAGATGCGGAGCTCCTGGCCACTTTGCAGCAAATTGCCCTTGTGAGAAGAGCCCTGGGAAAGGGAAGAAGGAGGAGCACAAGGGAGCTGACAAGAAATCCAAGGCTCCGGGAGGTTGCCCCAACCCTCCCCAAGGCTCTCCAGGTGGGAGAGCGGGAGGAGCTGCAGGGCATCTCATCCAGTGAGGAAGAGCCGCAACGGTTGCCAGGAAAAGGCTGGGACCTGCTGTGAAGGGTGCTAACCAGCAGGTCTGAAAGCATCCCGTGCCAGAATCCGTGAGAATCTCCTTCCCTCTGTTTTACTTAAGGGTGACTGTTGTCAATCTGGATATGGGCACCCATGTTAGGATGTGAGCCCTTATTGACTTCGGGTGCACCTGGGACTTAATTAGCCCAGCTTTGGTGACCTGGTTGGGGGCTAAGGTGCACAAACTGAAAGAGCCCATAGTATTCTCCGAAATGGACAGGACACCCATGAAAGGGGAGCCTTGTTGGTACTGCACAGTCCACCTGCTAGTGGGGTTGGCATCCCATTGGAAAAGGCAGTCATTCATTGTGAACCCTGTGGCTAGGGGGTCCTTGGCTCTGGGTCCACAATCCCTATGTTCAATGGAGTGTAGGAGCCTTGCAGTTCCTAGACCCCCAGTGTAAAGAGTATCTTTGGAACCCGGAGTGGGGGGAGGAGCCGCGCCCAGTGCCAAAGTGCATCTGCCTAGCCCAGGAGTAACTGGACCTCATTCCTCCCAAATACAGAGACTTGGCTAAAGTGTTTGAGGAGGACGAGACAGACGAGCTTCCCCCTTACCAGAAAACTGACTGTGCTATTGAAATTTTGCCAGAACATAAGATGCCTAAGGGGAAGCTTTATTCCATGAGCCCAGCTGAGGAGGAGGAGTTATGGAAATTCATTGACAAGAATCTGGCTAGGGGGCTCATCTGGCCGGCTGCTTCGCCCTTTACTGCCCTGGTGCTTTTCAGGAAGAAAAAGGTTATGTAGAGACTATAGGAGTTTGAGTGCAGTGTCCATGTTGCTAGCCGTTGCTTTTGGCAGGTGGAATACCAAGGGGTGATTGGTCCTGGTCTTTTAGGGCCTCTGCTTGAACCTTGTATATCTATTGGCTTCATGCCTTTAACCTTAGTTATAACACAGCTGATGTACAGGCTGGATCCTATCAATGTCTCAAGCAGAGAAAGCCCTGGGATTGTTACAGCCCTTGAAAAACCCCGAGCGACCCTGGGCGGTCATTTCTATGGATTTTATAACTGGTTTACCACCCCGTAAAGGGAAAACTGTCATTTGGGTGATCGAGGACCTTTTTTCTAAACAGGCGCACTTCATCCCATGCAAACAGCTGTCGTCAGCAAAGAAACTAGCACAACTGTTTATGCAACACATTGTGAGATTGCCTTCTATACCTTGAGAGGTGATATCTGATAGGGGCCCCCAGTTTGTGGTGGGATTTTGAAAGGAGCTGTTGAAATTGCTGGGGGTGGAACAAAGTCTCAGTAGTGCCTACCACCCGGAGACTGATGGGCAAAGAGAGAGAACTAATCAGATATTGGAACAATTCTTGAGATGCCTCATCATTTACCAACAAGATGACTGGCTGGAGTTGTTCCTTTATGCGGAATACAGTTACAATAACTCAGTGCATAGTTCCACAGGGGCTACTCCCTTCAAAATGGTGCATGGCTATGAGGGGGCCCCTGTGCCCACGATGCCTACAGAAGCAACAGGGTCAGCAGACCTACAAACCTGGTGGGCTGGGTTGACCAAGTGGTGGGTTCTAATTCAACAGACTCTGGCTAAAGCAAAAGAGGATTACAAAGCACAAATTAGGGGCAGGCTCCAGAGTGTGACTTGCACCCGGGGGACTCTATTTATATTTCCACCAAGAATCTTAGGGGCCTGCAACCTGGGAAGAAGTTGGGGTGGAAGTATGTGGGCCCATTCAAGGTGGTGAGGCTCATCAACAAGGTGGCTGTTGAACTGGATTTGCCAAAAAGCTTATGTCATATCCACCCTGTTTTCCATTCAGTCTACTAAAGAAGGATCCAGGACCCTAGAAGTGGAGACCTCGTCCTGCAGCTCCTCCTCCCCTGATTGTGAATGGGGAGCTTCATCAGGAAGTTGAGGAAATCCTTGACTCTAAAATCAAATGTGGACATCTGTATTATCTCATAAAATGGAAGGACTTTGATCCTAGCCATAATGAGTGGGTGCACAAAGATCATGTTAAGGCCCCTAAATTGGTTTGTGCATTCCACAAACAATATCCTCTCAAACCGAGGGGGGGTTAGGAGTCTTGGGGGGGGCAGAATGTCAAACTCAGAACTTCGTTTGTCATGCTTTTGTTCTTGTGTGCTGCTTCTCTTCTGTTGTGGACATAAAAGGAGGGGTCCTGTGTGTGCGCATGTCTGTGAACTTGCTTTGCTTAGCTTCAGCAGTCTGAATTTCAGCATACAAGTCTTAGATATGAATAGTAGATAAGATTGAGTATTAGGTTAGTTAAGTGCAATGTATAGCTATTGAGTTGGAATTGATTGAAAACACACTGTATTCTGTCTTTCAGTATGCATATTTGTATTATTATAATTATCTTAAATAAAATTTGGAAACCTAAAAAAAAAGGGTTGGCGCCAAAACATCGGTTCTAACACAGAAAGTCACAGTTTGGAACTTGCTAAAGCGTCAATAAACATATCACTGCCAAGAGAGTGTTTTTGGGTGCTCAGACGTCCAGGAATCTGACACGAGGCAGGAAAGGGAGGAGTATAAAAGGAGGCTCCTAACAACAGGCGAGGAAGGTTTAGTACCAGTGGCCCAAACTGCGTGGAGAGGGTTGACTGGCTGGGAGGAGGAGGATTAGGGTGATTAGGGCGAATCAAACCCCCTTGTCCTCCCATTCTGAAGGCGGTTGGCGTGACGGCGGAGAGCAGCACTACCCCAGGGCAGTCATGGTTCCTGGCAGAATTGTCTTGTTATGGGGCTGATCTACGATACACACTTTTAATTTCCATTTTTATTCCATGATTCCTTCAAGTAGCTAACGCTAGCATATATGATTTCCCCTTTCATTCTCACAGCAAGCTGATAAGTGGTAAGGTAAGGCTGCTCAGCAAAGTCTGAAGTCTTCTTCCAGCCTAAGGAGCCTCTTTCATCATAGAAAGTCACCTTAGACCGGAGGAAGGCTTTGCGTAAGTTATTTTTGCTAAGCAGAGTGGTAGGGAGCCAGTCACTGGTTCAAGGTCTCACCGTGAGCTTCAAGCACGATTGGGGATTTGGACCCTGGCTCTCTGCTACACAGGGTTACCAACCTCCAGTTGGGGCCTAGAGATCTCTTGGAATGTCAGTTGACTATAGAGGTCAGTTCCCCTGGAGAAAATGGCTGCTTTGGAGCGTGGAATCTATGGCATTATACCCCACTGAGGTCCCTGTCCTCCCCAGGGTCCACCCTCAAATCACCAGCAGTTTCCCAACCTGGATATGGCAACCCTACTACCATTGTAATTGTCATGGCCACCCCAAAGAATCCTGGAAATTATCATTTGGTGAGGGTGCCAAGAACTCTGCTAGAGTCCCCCCATACCCACTCACAAAATTACAGCTTCTTGTGGAAAGCATTAACTGTTAAGCCCATTTAAATTTAGAGTTAAACCCTGCAGTTTGTTCCTCTCAACCAATATACAGGCCTTGATACAGGATTTGGATGTTTTAGTCAACCAAACAGCAGCCCCGCAAGCTTGTTTGGGACTGCGAATCAATGTGGGGAGAAGCCTTAAACTTCGTGCTATAGTCCCCGTCCGAATCAGGACTCCATGCGCTGGCTATATTAAAAAACAAACAACCCCCCCCAAAAAAAAACCCTGCTCAGAACTCCATACATGGAACTTCATTCTTGTTTGGCTTCCTACTCTGGTGCTCTGTTCCTCTGCAGAGTTATCTGCTGGGTGTGGGAGAATGGTCTTGCCCAGAGATTTATGTATGGGGCACCTGCTGGATCACTAGGTACAAGAGGTCTGCAGCAGGGACTATGTCCCAGGCTCCCCATTTCAAGGAACTTTCTTGGCCATTTAGCTTTATATCTGCGACAATTTTTGGACATATACAAAGCCCTTCGGGGTTTCTGTAATGGAGACCAGTGCATTCAGGTATGCCATTTCCCACAGCACTAGCTAGACTTTCCCAGCTTTCCCTCTCTCCGGGATCATTGTGATAAAGATGAGTGTTACTTAGAATGTTATCCATAGGGTTCTTGTTTTGGGGGTTTTGTATGGATTATTATGACTGAATAAACTTTTCTTGTTCTAGGTGACCAGAAAGGCCTTGTTTCCTGGGGATTCTGAGATTGACCAGCTCTTTTGGATTTTCCGAACCCTTGGCACACCTACTGAATCAGTATGGCCAGGAGTGACTCAGCTTCCTGACTACAAAGGAAATTTCCCCAAATGGCCGAGGAAAGATTTGAAGGCAATAATTCCAAACTTGGACCGAGATGGACGAGACTTATTGGCAGTGAGTAGCAGGCTTGCAGGACAGTTCGCTTTTGTTGGTTTTGTCCTTATGGCAAGGATGATGAAACTAAAAATTACAACAGGTAAAACAACCTGAGATCCACACTTCAGGGGGAAGGCTGATTGTGATTCATGTCATATCCCATTAAGTCAGAACAGCTGCCACTACCCCTTGCATACACAGCTTATATTAGGGAGCAGCTAGCCAGATCAGACCAGGGCCAACTTATTCATTAGGCACAGTAGGCACAGTACCTAGGGCCCATTAAAATGTTTTAGCTTCTTTTAAAATCAGAAGAAAAAAATGAATTTTTAGGGTCAAATAAAAAGTTTTAATTTTTTCCTCCCAGCAGAAAACAATGTAATGTTTAGGGCCCACAAAAATCTATTAAATCTTGCCTAAAACAGAAAAAATGTTGAAGTATGTAAAGTTATATCAAAAATAATTTTTAATATTGATATTATGATGGTGGGAGGGGCCCATGAGGGCAAAAGTGCCTAGGGCTCACAAAAGTCATAGTGTGGCCCTGGATCAGACTGTGCTTTAACTGGAAAAGTGAGATTTCAAAATAGTGGCTTATCATGACCTGGGTAGATAGTACCTATTTTATGTATACATATCTGGAAGTAACTCCTACTGAAAACAGTAGGACTTACTTCCAAGTAAACATCCATAGGATCAGGCTGGAAGATAAACTGAAGCCTTCTAACATGAGATATATAGTTCCCCTAAACCTGCATTCCCAGTTCCCATTAACTTTGCTCTCTCAAGGGACATAAATAAGATAAACCCTAGTACTGTACTTACATTAGTGAACACTAGTACTGCCATTCAATATTTAGGGTGCTTTCTTATGATATATACTGCCATGTAAGAAGAGGTGAGGAGTCAGCCTTGCCTGGGTGGAGTTGCGTTTCCTTTAAAGGAATGAATTTACATTTTGGGAATACTCTTAGATCCACATCTATAGATCATCTGGTTAAGGAAGCAGCTGTAGGCTTTTGCTGAAAAAGGAGGTCTGGCCCCTCTTATCCATGTCTGGTCACATCCATATTTAATTCTAGTATACTCTACATGCAGCTGCCCCTGAAGACTGTTTGTAAACTTCATTTGGTTCAAAATGTAGCACCAGGCTGCTGGTTTGCTGTAAAAATATCTTGCCACACTTAGGCTGCAATCTTAAAGACATTTTCCTAGGTGTAAGCCCTACTAAATAACATAGAACTTACTTCTGAGTAGATCTGCCTAGGACTGACTCTTAGGGTGTGGTCACACGGTCCTTTTGATCGGGGTTCGCCGCTGTTCCCTCCCACATTTAAGTTTGCTTGTCAGACAGGTGAATCTGCCTCCCGTGCTGAAGCGGGCTCACTCCCGCAATGCTCCCAGGTTTTTCTGCCCATGGAAAATCAAGTATTTTCCTGGCACTTGCGCTTTGAATGCGTGATTTTGCCCATCTGGACAGCCATCTTTCGCAATTATTGCAATTAGGGCCGTCTGACCGCTCTTTGGGTGTTTTTTTTTTTTAAAAGCTTCCGGTTTGAGCGCTTGGGCAAACATGCGCTTAATAAATCCATTTTTAAACGTTATTTTTATGTTCATTTCTCTGTTTAAAGATAATATGAATTTGTTGTAAGAAACAGAAGCCCCTTCCCCAGGAAGGAGGATGGTGGAGACGGCGAGGCTGAGGTTTTTTTTGTGGGGCAATGGCAGCAGCAGTGGCACCACCACCTACAGCGGCAGCAGGAGCAGCAGCCGCCTGAGCCTGCCCCATGGCTGGCATGATCGCCTGGAGGGACTCAGCGTGGTGGAGGCTCCGCCGCAGCCCCGACGAACCAAGCTGAGCTCAGCAGCCCTCTCGGCCGGTCTTCCTTTTCCCGCCCGTCCGGGGCTGGTCGGGCAGGCGGCTTGCTGGAGCTGTCATATTATCTTTAAACAGAAATGAACATAAAATAACGTTTATGATGGATTTATTAAGCGCATGTTTGCTCAAGCACTCAAACCGGAAGCACTCAAACTGTTAGCCGTGAGGCAAAACCTTTTTATTTTTCCAGGCATTTTTATAGATTCTTGCTGATTAGTTCTGCTTTTTGCTGCTTTTAGTTTCCTGGCAGAGTTTTATTTGCTTCCTTTTAATGTATTGCTTTTGAGGTATTTATGGTTTTATTGCCCTGTTTTTAGTGTGTATTATTTTATATATTTATTAGATTTTATTATACTGCCAATACTGTATGAACTTTATGCTCCAGTTGTATAATATGCCAGTGATCTTATGGTATTTTAAAGGTGATATTTTAAAAATGCTGCTTTTGCTTATTAGTATTCTTGTGATTAATAATTTTGGTCTTTTATGGATAAAAGTCATCTTTTTGAACTGAAGACAGTGGCATAAAATGTTTATTTGTATATACATGTGAAGATGTGAATAGCTGGTCCTAAAGCATTGTTTTGCAGGTTCATATTTTTCTCCTGCTTTATTACAGCAACTACTACTGTATGATCCTGACAGGCGCATCTCAGCCAAAGCTGCTTTGGCTCACCGGTACTTCTGGCGGGCTCCACAAGATGCCAAAGAGCAGTAAAAAAATATAGCCCAGGAGAGGAAGCAGTTTTGAATTGGGCTTCATCAGGATGTGCCCTCTGGCCTAATAATTCATAGTTAGAACGGCTTCAATGGAATCTATTCTAGTTTCAATCTTTGCTGGAACGAATATTATGTTCATATCAATTTCAGCTGTTTTAAATTGCATAGCTCCTTATAATAGCTGTTGCATGTTGTTCAAATGAGACACACAAGCTTCGGGCTGTAAATTATTGGCATACAGAAGAAGACAAATGTGATTCTCAGAGGGCAATCCTATATGGAGTTACTTCTGTCAAAGCCAACTGAAGTCAATTGAATTAGTCTGGAGTAACTCTTCATAGGACTGCATTGCTAGCCTTAGGGCTACTGTCTATTTGAATAGTTGGAAGGGAGCAAACGTTTAGTTGTGTCCTTCAGCAACCATGTATGATACAGTTGTGGGCTGTTGACTTATTGCAGAAAAGGTGGTTAAAGTAATTTAGGCTATATTGATGCAGCCTTCAAATTTACAGTGAACAGGGTACCATATTTTGGGGGTATCACCGTGATATTCTTGAGTCACCAAGAAACATAATATAATACACCTGAGTTTCTTTCAGCCTCTGCCATTATCATCTCTTATGTGGTGCATTAAAAAAGCTTCCACATTTAGGGAAGCATTTCCCCTCAGAATAGGGCTAAAGTTCTAAATGGCATAAGCCACAGTGCACATTAAGAAATGGGATTCCGAATGTTAGAGAAGGTGTTGGACTTTTAAAGAATGTTAGAGTTTTAATTTTTAGTTCAATCACAATGTGACATTTGATCATCGATATGCCAAGAAGAGAAACTGAATGACCTACACAGTACAGAAAATCAAAAAGATAAACATTCAAACTCCCATTTTCTGCTCTTGGCCAACTATAGTCTAGTTGTATGTCTAAGAATTTTCCTATTGATGTTTGAAGTTATTTTTAATCATTAGTTGTTAGTGTTATTGTAGAAGTTACCTTATGCACTAAAGTAAATAAAACATATGGCTAGGTGAACCTTGAGGTTTTAAAAAAAACTTGCTGCTTTTTAAAAATTCTCTCTTGACAAGTGATAGAACAGTTGCATGTATACTTGTGACCCTGTCCACTTTTCTTATTTTGAAGACCAGGATCATATCATATCTAGTTGTCATTCTAAAGCAAGTTGCTAACCCTCATTGTTACAGAAAGTATGAAAATGTGGTTACTGTACTTCCTACACAGAAGTCTTGCTCCCATTCTAAAGCCTATTGTCCTTTCTTAGATTGCCTATGAAACTTCAGATCACATGCAGCTTTTGATCAGTAGTTTCCATGTAGCCTCTCTCACTATTTTAAAATCTCCTTTCCTATTATTCTTGAGTTAAGTTCAGATGTAAGCTTACTTCTGCACATTGCCTCACAGCTCCTGTCTTGAGGTGTCCCCAGTTTTAAAGATAATGAATGGAGTCTTAAATCTTTAAATGTTTTATTGCATGCATTACAATTTAACTCAAAGTACCTTGACACAAAGATGCAGAGTAAAAGTTCACCAAGCTTATTTATTCAGTTGCTGTCTTACAAAATACTGCATTAGAACCCTTCTGCCTTCAGGAGTGCCAGCTTCTCCTTGAAATGCATCGCTGCCTTGGTATAAGGAAACAGGACTAGCTATCTAGTACAGTACCCACCCATCCAGATGTGTCAGGCACATTGTTTACCTATGGACAGTGTATGAACTCTGCTGAGGGTTTAAAGCACCTGGGGAAATTGAAGGGTACAGTGCTTGCCTCAATGCCTATACCGGGGCAAGGTGGGTGAACGGTTTGCTGACTGATATGACTGGTACCTTTCAGAGGCAGCTGGAAGAAGGAGGAGCCCACTTAAAGGATCTTTCCGGCAATGAGCCATAGCCTCCTTATAATGGATCTTTTCTTTGATGATAGGGTCGACAAGATCCTTTTCATAGTTAGATTCATCTTGAAGCATTGTGGCCAGATCACTGTTTAGCATGCCTGTCTGGACAGCCTCTGACAGTGGGATACGACCTGTTTTCTTGGGATCTATTAGCCCTCCAGTCAGATGCTGTACCTGCAGATACGGAAAGGCATTGTCTGCAGTCATCCACCCCTTCTGAACTGCCTCCCCTACGGACAATCTCCTTTTGGTGACTGGATCTTCAATCCCTGTGAATGCCTTCTGGGCGTTCAGCAGCCTCTGCATGTAAGTGTCATCAATCAGCCCTCTGTCAATGGCTTTATGGACAGAGTAACGATCTCGTGAGATAAGATCAACAATGCCTCCAGTTGCTGCCTGTGCTTCTAGAAGCTTTTGAGCTGTCATTGGGTCCACCAGCTTCTTACTAAGAGCAGACTTGATATTGTACTTTTTGTCAGTGGTTGTATCATACACTCCAGCAATGGGAAAAGTATCATCACAGAAAGGCATTTGTGGATGAGGAAAGAAGTCCTGTTTTTGTTGGAAAGTGGGGGATGTAGCTGGAGACTTAGAGATTATTGAGCCAATGGACAGGGGTGAAATCTGCTTGGTTTCTCCTGCTACCAGCAGAGCAAACTCAGAGATGGGGAGCTTGCCTTCCCTGTAAAGCTGGAATTCTTCCTTTGTAATCCTTCTAAATCGCAAGGCATCATCGATTGAGTACTGCTTTCCACTCTTCTTGTCAAGGAGGACAGACATATCCCCTTTGGGCCCAAGGGTTGTGATTTCTTCCCAATCACACTCTAGTTCCTGCAGATGAATATATTGGCTCCTGTCTATCATACCTCTCTTGTAGGCCTCATAGGGTGATATGTCCTTGCCAGTCTCTGGATCCAGAATCGAGATCTTTGTTGAAAGATTGGTCTCTCTCATCCGGGTCTCTTGGTTCAGTTCTTCCCTGTTGACTCTGGATTGGAGTTCACGAATAGTCCTCTCTTTTTCATAAATCTGGTCCTTCTCTCTGAGTATGTTTGATTCAAGAAGAGAGAGCTCTTGACCAAGTTGCATCTTTTTTTGTCTGTCATTCTCCGTCCTCTGGCTCAAAAGCTTGGTCTCCTCTCTAAGGAAGAGGATCTTCTGTTGCTTCTGCCTCTCCAGTTCCATTAATTCATCCTCAATATTGGCTTTTTCTTGTATTATCACATTTCGTGTTTTTTGGAGCTCAATTTCTTCTCTGGACCATGTCCTCTTCATGCCTTCTGCTCTCTCAATTTTTTCCTTTAGACGCCTGATATCTTCTTCTGTGTTTTGTCGGGCAGTTCGCTCCCTACTCAATAGATCCCAAAGACGGGCTCGTTCATTTTCTAATACCCTATCTTTTTCTACTCTGATTACTTCCTTGTAGATGGTCTTTTCCTGGGACTTGGTTTTTTGTAGAGAATCAATTTGGCATTCTAAATTCTTGCACTCCCTCTGTAAGTTCAACACTTGAGCCTTTTCATTATCCAGGTCTATCCGCAAAGTGGTAGTAGACTGTTCAAGAGCTGGATCTTTCTCTAATTTGACCACTTCCTCCATGATTATTTTCTCTTGAACTGGGGTAGGACTTTCCTCAATTTCCTTTATTCTCAAGGTGATCTGCCGCATTTCCTTCTCCAAAGCAAGCCGTTTGTTTCTATCTTCTTGGAAATTAAGCAACTTTTCCTCCTCTTCCAGTACTGCCCGAAGCTGTTGGACTTCACGTTCCAGGTGGCGGCGATTACTCACTTCATCATCCAGGCTCCTACTCAGTCTGCTATGCTCATCTCGGAGCTTTGGATCTTTCTGCATAACTACTACCTCTTGGATCACAACTTTTTCCTCAGGCTTTCTCCTTTCCAGAAGTATGTACTTACTCTGTAGGTCATAAATGGCATCTTCAGTTGCTCTTCTCTTTTGTGATGCACTACGTACTTCTTGGCGGAGACGTTCAGCTTCTTTCTCTAACAGAGGGTCGTTCTCATATCGAACAACCTCCTTAGTAACCAGCTGGGTTTCAACCTTTGATTTTTCCCTCTTCCACTCATCCCGTTCTCCCTGAATCCTGATCAACTGTTCCTGGAACCTTCCATTAGTATTCACAAGATCATTCAGTTGTTGTTTCAATCTATCTATTTCTCTCAGAATCTCAGGGCTCTTTTCCATCTTTACCACCTCTTGGATGACCTCTTTAAACTCCAGTGTAGGTTTCTGAGACCTGATAACACTGAGCTCAGATAAGACTGTTTCCACATCTTGGTCAACCCTTCTCCTTTTTCTTGTAACTTCTTGGAGTTCCCTTTTCAAACGTGCTATCTCCTCTTCTGTTTCTGGGTCAAGCCGGAAGATCTCATTTATTCTTTCTTTAACCTCCACCTTAGGCTTTTGCCTCTCCACAGTGCTGTATCTGCTCTGAAGGTCTGTCAGTTCTTTTGCTAGCACCAAGTTTTTGTTCTTCTCCTTTTCAATGAGAGTTTGAAGCTTGGAAGACTCCTTCAGAACTTCTGGGTCTCGTTCTACTTGCTTCACCTCCTTTACAATGACTTTAGGTTCTGCTGTTTCAATCAGCTTTTCAAGCTCTTCAATTCTGCTTTTCATTTTCCCTATTGTATCTTCCACAGACTTTCTCTTGAAACTGTCTTCATCAATTTGCATCTGTAATGTCCTGATTGATTTTAGCATCTCTGGGTCCTTTTCCAGCTTGACCACCTCTTTTACCACCACTTTCTCTCGAATGTTTGGCTGTTTTTGTTCCAGAAAGTGCAGCTCTTTCCTGAGTTGTTCAAGTTCAGAAGAAGAAGTTGAATTTTCTCTGAGATGCCTGATCTCTTCTCTAAGATGGGCTGCTTGGGCATCTAGGCTTAGATCTTTCTCTATCTTAGTAACTTCTTTGGTAAGTAGCTGGGCTTTCACAACCTTCCTGTTTTTCTCCATTTGAAGGACCTTACGGTTCATCATCTCAATTTCAGCCTGTAGGCACTTTCTCTGCTTATTCTCATCCTCAATTTGCTGAGATATTTTAGACAGGTTGCTCTCCAGAGTGGGATCTCTGT